ATGGGGGAGGGGCAGCCTGGAGCAGGATTTAGAAGGGGGAGGGGCAGATTGAAGGGGGATGTATGTGGGCAGGAATGTATGGGGGGGGGCTGTAAGGGTGAGAAGTAGATAGATGAAAAGGATTTTTAAAGGGAAGGATCAATTTGGAGCTAATGAGGGGGAGAGGGGGCAGTTGTTGTAGGAAATTCTGCCCCTGTACAGGATTGTCCCTCTGCAGAGCTCGTCCATCCGCTCCGGCAGATCACATGACCAGTCACGTGGTGGTGGTGGAGGAGGAGCTCGGTAACACCACGAGGAGCTTCTGCAGCCCGGGAGAGGATGGAAAGGGGCGGGGCCGCCGACTCCTCCTCCTCAGAGGAGTCATTGTGTCACATAGACCCCGGAGTGTCTCACCATCACCTTCATTACGGGGTCCTGGGGGGGAGCATTCCAACAAGACATGAGCAATTGATAAATCACTGTCCCTGCAGAGGAAACGAGACATGAGCAATCGATAAATCAATGTCCCCGCAGAGGAAACGAGACATGAGCAATCGATAAATCACTGTCCCCACAGAGGAGAGGAAGCAAGACATGAGCAATCGATAAATCACTGTCCTCTCAGAGAGAAGAGGAAGCAAGACATGAGCAATCAATAAATCACTGTCCTCTCAGAGAGGAGAGGAAGCAAGACATGAGCAATCGATAAATCACTGTCCTCAGAGAGGAGAGGAAGCAAGACATGAGCAATCGATAAATCACTGTCCTCTCAGAGAGGAGAGGAAGCAAGGCATGAGCAATCGATAAATCACTGTCCTCTCAGAGAGGAGAGGAAGCAAGGCATGAGCAATCGATAAATCACTGTCCTCTCAGAGAGGAGAGGAAGCAAGACATGAGCAATCGATAAATCGCTGACGGCTATCTCAGAGGGGATTTTCTCTCACTTCCTGTTGGGTCTCCAGGACAGGAAGTAAAGGGAAATCTCCTCAGTGGACACAGACAGCAGAAAAGGTTCTGAGCCTTCCCATTAAAGATACGTTACCTCCTCATCATCCGCAGGTGATCCTCATCATCCGGCTCTCTATATGTCCCCGCCCGGGGAGCACAGACAGTTCTGGTTCCAGCAGTGATGGGGAATCATGTCGGCCTCTCTGCATCCAGTGATGGCTGTCCCTCCTCTGGAGGGTGAGGACCGGGATGACTCTGAAGATCTGCAGATATATGAGATCGGCAGCCTGAGCTTTGAGGTAAGCGGAGTGCCCCACGCGGCTGTGTATGGGTGTGCTCTGTGTATGACCAGCAGGGGGCGTTGTGTGGTCATGTTCATCCTTCGCTTCCTGCTCATTCAGGGCCGTCCTCACTCTTTGATCCGGTTCCTCCACCGGCTCTGGCCGGAAACAATGTTCTGTCACTGCCTCTGCTTTCACATCACTTCCTGTCCCCCTGACACCATCACAGGAAGTGGGGGAACCTCCCCAGGGGGGGATTCGGTAGTAGTAACCTGACACAAGTTCTGACTCTCCCCCCCATCCCCCGACAATGAATATATATATATACAGTATATGTCATTGTCTGGAGTTGGGCTTTACCCAGGAGAGAAGTGTGGGCGTGGCCTTCCAGGTTGTCATCCTTATCCTTCACTTCTTCATGTGTCACTGACATAGAGGAATGAATGCAGGTCAGGAGGTTGGACTTTGCTGGACGCATGCTTGTTCCAGGATCTGAGGAAAGGATAAGAGTGACAGCCCCAAATCTGTAACTGTGAGCCAGTCAGCAATGGCCCCTCCCACATCACTGTCCTGACCGGACGACTTACACTGAGAAGGGAAAAGAAGTTCATGCTGTGCCGTCATTGGTGGACATTCTATGTCAGTGCCCGCCCATGCTGTGCAGTCACTGGTGGACATTCGGTGTCAGTGCCCGCCCATGCTGTCCAGTCATTGGTGAACATTCTGTCAGTGCCCGCCCATGCTGTGCAGTCATTGGTGAACATTCTGTCAGTGCCCGCCCATGCTGTCCAGTCATTGGTGGACATTCGGTGTCAGTGCCCGCCCATGCTGTGCAGTCACTGGTGGACATTCGGTGTCAGTGCCCGCCCATGCTGTGCAGTCATTGGTGGACATTCGGTGTCAGTGCCCGCCCATGCTGTCCAGTCATTGGTGGACATTCGGTGTCAGTGCCCGCCCATGCTGTGCAGTCACTGGTGGACATTCGGTGTCAGTGCCCGCCCATGCTGTGCAGTCATTGGTGGACATTCTGTGTCAGTGCCCGCCCATGCTGTGCAGTCATTGGTGGACATTCTGTGTCAGTGCCCGCCCATGCTGTGCAGTCATTGGTGGACATTCTGTGTCAGTGCCCGCCCATGCTGTGCAGTCATTGGTGGACATTCTGTGTCAGTGCCCGCCCATGCTGTGCAGTCATTGGTGGACATTCTGTGTCAGTGCCCGCCCATGCTGTGCAGTCATTGGTGGACATTCTGTGTCAGTGCCCGCCCATGCTGTGCAGTCATTGGTGGACATTCTGTGTCAGTGCCCGCCCATGCTGTGCAGTCATTGGTGGACATTCTGTGTCAGTGCCCGCCCATGCTGTGCAGTCATTGGTGGACATTCTGTGTCAGTGCCCGCCCATGCTGTGCAGTCATTGGTGGACATTCTGTGTCAGTGCCCGCCCATGCTGTGCAGTCATTGGTGGACATTCTGTGTCAGTGCCCGCCCATGCTGTGCAGTCATTGGTGGACATTCTGTGTCAGTGCCCGCCCATGCTGTGCAGTCATTGGTGGACATTCTGTGTCAGTGCCCGCCCATGCTGTGCAGTCATTGGTGGACATTCTGTGTCAGTGCCCGCCCATGCTGTGCAGTCATTGGTGGACATTCTGTGTCAGTGCCCGCCCATGCTGTGCAGTCATTGGTGGACATTCTGTGTCAGTGCCCGCCCATGCTGTGCAGTCATTGGTGGACATTCTGTGTCAGTGCCCGCCCATGCTGTGCAGTCATTGGTGGACATTCTGTGTCAGTGCCCGCCCATGCTGTGCAGTCATTGGTGGACATTCTGTGTCAGTGCCCGCCCATGCTGTGCAGTCATTGGTGGACATTCTGTGTCAGTGCCCGCCCATGCTGTGCAGTCATTGGTGGACATTCTGTGTCAGTGCCCGCCCATGCTGTGCAGTCATTGGTGGACATTCTGTGTCAGTGCCCGCCCATGCTGTGCAGTCATTGGTGGACATTCTGTGTCAGTGCCCGCCCATGCTGTGCAGTCATTGGTGGACATTCTGTGTCAGTGCCCGCCCATGCTGTGCAGTCATTGGTGGACATTCTGTGTCAGTGCCCGCCCATGCTGTGCAGTCATTGGTGGACATTCTGTGTCAGTGCCCGCCCATGCTGTGCAGTCATTGGTGGACATTCTGTGTCAGTGCCCGCCCATGCTGTGCAGTCATTGGTGGACATTCTGTGTCAGTGCCCGCCCATGCTGTGCAGTCATTGGTGGACATTCTGTGTCAGTGCCCGCCCATGCTGTGCAGTCATTGGTGGACATTCTGTGTCAGTGCCCGCCCATGCTGTGCAGTCATTGGTGGACATTCTGTGTCAGTGCCCGCCCATGCTGTGCAGTCATTGGTGGACATTCTGTGTCAGTGCCCGCCCATGCTGTGCAGTCATTGGTGGACATTCTGTGTCAGTGCCCGCCCATGCTGTGCAGTCATTGGTGGACATTCTGTGTCAGTGCCCGCCCATGCTGTGCAGTCATTGGTGGACATTCTGTGTCAGTGCCCGCCCATGCTGTGCAGTCATTGGTGGACATTCTGTGTCAGTGCCCGCCCATGCTGTGCAGTCATTGGTGGACATTCTGTGTCAGTGCCCGCCAATGCTGTGCAGTCATTGGTGGGCATTCGGGTGGACATTCGGTGTCAGTGCCCGCCCATGCTGTCCAGTCATTGGTGGACATTCGGTGTCAGTGCCCGCCCATGCTGTCCAGTCACTGGTGAACATTCTGTCAGTGCCCGCCCATGCTGTGCAGTCATTGGTGGACATTCTGTGTCAGTGCCCGCCCATGCTGTGCAGTCATTGGTGGACATTCGGTGTCAGTGCCCGCCCATGCTGACCACTGACATCTATGACATGGGAAGATTAGTCGTGGCCACTCAGCAGTTGCTGAGATCCTGATGGCTCCACCCCCGGGGGAGTGCCTGTCTTGTGGCTTGATGGCTCCACCCCCGGGGGGGGGCTTGTGGCTTGATGGCTCCACCCCGGGGGAGTGGCTGTCTTGTGGCTTGATGGCTCCACCCCGGGGGAGTGGCTGTCTTGTGGCTTGATGGCTCCACCCCGGGGGAGTGGCTGTCTTGTGGCTTGATGGCTCCACCCCGGGGGAGTGGCTGTCTTGTGGCTTGATGGCTCCACCCCGGGGGAGTGGCTGTCTTGTGGCTTGATGGCTCCACCCCGGGGGAGTGGCTGTCTTGTGGCTTGATGGCTCCACCCCGGGGGAGTGGCTGTCTTGTGGCTTGATGGCTCCACCCCGGGGGAGTGGCTGTCTTGTGGCTTGATGGCTCCACCCCGGGGGAGTGGCTGGCTTGATGGCTCCACCCCGGGGGAGTGGCTGGCTTGTGGCTTGATGGCTCCACCCCGGGGGAGTGGCTGTCTTGTGGCTTGATGGCTCCACCCCGGGGGAGTGGCTGTCTTGTGGCTTGATGGCTCCACCCCGGGGGAGTGGCTGTCTTGTGGCTTGATGGCTCCACCCCGGGGGAGTGGCTGTCTTGTGGCTTGATGGCTCCACCCCGGGGGAGTGGCTGTCTTGTGGCTTGATGGCTCCACCCCGGGGGAGTGGCTGTCTTGTGGCTTGATGGCTCCACCCCAGGGG